ACCCCCTCACCTTCCCTCCTTTTCTTCCTTCTTCCTTCCATCTCCCCCCTCTTCCCTCCTTCCCTACTTCCCTCCTCCCCCCCTACTTCCCTCCTCCCCCCCTCCTTCCCTCCTTTCCCCTCTCCTTCCCTCCTTTCTTAACTTCCTTCCCTTCCTTTCCTCTCTCCCTCCCTCCTTTTCCCTCTCCTTCCTCCACTCTCCCCCTCCTCTTTCCCCTCTCCTTCCCTCCTTTCCTGACTTCCTTCCCTTCTTTCCTTCCTTTCCCCTCTCGCTCCCTCCTTTTCCCTCTCCTTCCTCCACTCCCCCCCTCTATCCCCCCCCCTCCCCTTCTCATTAGCGTCGTGGCTGCGTTGATCTCGAGGGCCGAGTCGAAGGAAACTTTGAGGTGAAGGTTGTGACATTTGGAAAAAGAAGAAAAGAGAGAGAAAGAGAGAGAGAGAAAAAAGAAAATGCTTCGAAAGATGGAATGATTTTCAGGGGAAGATTGTGTGTTTCCCTTCTCTTTGTCGTTCTGTTGGTATTTCTCTCTTTCTCTTTTATTGTTTTCTTTCTTATATATATATGTATATGTGTATATATATATATATATATGATATATATATATATATATATATATATATATATATATATATGTGTGTGTGTGTGTGTGTGTGTGTGTGTGTGTGTGTGTCTATATGTATATGTATATATCCTTTACCCTCTTTTCTCCCTCCACCCATCCCATCCCCTCCCCTTTCTTCCCTCCACCATTTTTGCCCTCCCCCTCTCCCTCCCTCCCTCTTCTTCCCTCCCTCCCTCTTCTTCCCTCCCTCTCTCGTCCTCTCCCTCCCTCCCCACCCTCCTTCCTCCCTGTCCCTCCCCACTCTCCTTCCTCCCTGTCCCTCCCCCTCTCCCCTCCTCCTCCCCCCCCTTCCCTCCCTCCATCCCTTCCTTCCTTCCTTCCTTCCTCCCTTCCTTCCTCCTTCCCCTCTCTCCCCCCCTCTCCTTCCCCCTCCCCATCCAGTCCCCCCCCCCATGCATGCTCAATCCCGGCACGCCATTCAAGATTAATCCCCCGGGCTTCGTGCTTGCGGGCCGTTGATAAGTAAAGACTAAGTCGTGGAAAGAGATTGCTTGCTGCTTTCGGGAGCGCGTGCTTTACGAGGCAATTTTCGTGTGTGCGTTGGGTAGGGTGGGGGGAGGAGTGGGGAGTGTGAGGGGGGGTTGGGGGATGTGCCAGGTGGGATGGGGGTGGGGGAGAAGGGGAAAGGATGGGGGGGGTGTACTCTCTCTGGGACTGTTGTTGAAGAGGGGGAGGGGAGGGGAGGGGGGAGGGAGGGTTTTTTCCAAGGTCGGTCTGTTATTTGTCTTTTGTTTATTTTGTTAATTTTGTCGTCTGATATTGTTTAAAGTTTATTTTATTGGTTACGTTTGTTTCCTTTCCTTCTCATGTTTTGTTTTTGTATCTTTTTTTTTCTTTTTCGTTTTGTTTTATTCTTTTTTAACTACTCCTCTCTTCCTCCTAATTTTATTCTCCTTTTCCCATCTTCCTCTACTTTTAGTCTTCTCTCCCTCTTTCCTCTTCCACGCCCATTTCTTCCCCACCTCCGTTATTCCTTCTCTCTCTCTCTCCTTTTCTCTCTCTCTCTCTCCTTTTCTCTCTCTGTCTCTCCTTTATTCTCTCTCTCTCTCTCCTTTTCTCTCTCTCTCTCTCCTTTTCTATTTCTCTCTCCTTTTCTCTTTCTCTCTCTCTCCTTTTCTCTTTCTCTCTCTCTCCTTTTCTCTTTCTCTCTCCTTTTCTCTTTCTCTCTCCTTTTCTCTTTCTCTCTCCTTTTCTCTTTCTCTCTCTCTCGTTTTCTCTTTCACTCTCTTTCTCTCTCTTTCTCTCTATTTCTCCATAGATTTTCTTTCTTGCTCTCGCTGTTTCCCTTTCTGTGCGTCTTTCTCTCTCTCTCTCTCTCTCTCTCTCTCTCTCTCTCTCTCTCTCTCTCTCTCTCTCTCTCTCTCTCTCTCTCTCTCTCTCTCTCTCTCTCTCTCTCTCTCTCTCTATTGGTGTTGTAGGTAAACTGGCCTTCAGAATTTCGCTTCATTAAGTCGTTATTGATGTTTTGAAAGGAAGATGCAGTAGATGTTTGGGTAGTCATTTTGAGAGGGTCGTTTTCCTGATGTGGTCGTAGTTTGTAGGTTTGTATTTGGATAATTTTCCTGTCTGAGTGGTCGTCTTTATGTAGTGTTGGTATGTAAGTGGTCGTCGTGATTAGGTAGTGGTCGTGGCCCTCTGATTTAGGCGTTTGTCCTATACAGGTAATTGTCCTGTTCAGGTCGTCGTATAATAGGTGGTCGTCCTGTTCAGGCGGACGTATATACTCGTAGGTGGTCGTTTGTAGGAGTTTGTGCTGTCTGGGTGGTCGTCCTGTTCAGGTGGTCGTGTATAGGTGGTCGTCCTGTTCAGGTGGTCGTGTATAGGTGGTCGTCCTATTCAGGTGGATATATATAGGTGGTCGTCTGATGTAGGTCGTCT